ACAGCCTGCGGGTTTATGGGAGCTTAACCCATACGACATAGTGCTCTGCGGTCACTTCTCCAGATCACGCTCTAGGTCCACCCATTACCAACTGAGTGACCACATATACATTGCTTCGTGTTTCTCGCTTTAGTATCTACACGAAGGGGCTCTATGTTTGTGGAAAATGGAACAGAAAGATCATGGAAATTTCCTGTGAACTGTTTGAAGCCCCCCTCTTTGGCAGCCCTGCAGGTTTGGGGTTGGACTTAGAGCCGCGACACTATAAGACAGGGTAGAACTGCCCTTGTGGGTTTCTGAGACTGTCACTCTTTACAGAAGTAGAAAGATCACCTTTCTTTGGCAGAGTGGCTGGTGCTTTATGAAGGGCTGACCTTCTGGTTAGCAGCCCAACATGTAACCCACGACACCGCCAGGACTCCTTAGGCGCCGGACCACTAACTATAAAGTCAGTGGTTCAAATCCACCAGCAGCTCCCTGGGTGAGAGTTGAGGCGATCTGATCCTATACAGAATCACAGTCTTGGAAACCTTCTATAGGGTTACTATGCATCAGGATTGACTCAGTGGTATTGAGGTTTTGGTGGGACTGTTCAGAAATTAAACAGGACACTGTATTCACAAAGCGCCACTACCATGAAGTCCATTCCAAGTCACAGTGGCCCGATTCAGGGTTTCTAGGACTGAAATCTTTACAGGAGCAGACAGCCTCATTGTTCTCCTATGGAGCAGCAGAGAGGTTTGAACAGCTGACCTTGTGGTGAGCAGTCCGGCATCTAACCCATAGCACTACCAGGGCTAAATTACTAAGATTTGTCTTCTCAGAGCTGATGTGCCTGCTACAATCTGACAGCCTATGTTGAATGATCTGAGACAGGCTACGAGCTGGCCCCTCACTCCCCCTGCATGGGAGAGATGCCCCTCCCCACAAGAAGGTTTGGGTCAGGGTGGATGGGTCTGACCACTCACCTCCTCCCACTGATGAATATAGCGAATGAGGCGGGAGAGACGCAGGAGGCGCAGCAGGCTGAGGATCTTGGTGAAGCGGACGATGCGCAGGGCCCGGGCAGTCTTGTAGACCTCCGAGTCGATGCGTGTCTCCACGATGAGGAAGATGTAGTCCACGGGGATGGAGGAGATGAAATCCACCACGAACCAGCTTTTGAGGTACTTCATCTTAATGCGCTGCGGGTCCAGGATGATTTCCGTGTTGTCCTCCACCACGATCCCTGTGCGGAAGTTGAGGACCAAGTCGATGAGGAAGAATGTGTCGGACACCACGTTGAAGACGATCCAGGGCGTGGTGTTCTCATCCTTGAAGAATGTGATGCCCACGGGGATGATGATCAGGTTTCCCACCATCAGGAGCAGCATGGTCAGGTCCCAGTAAAATCTGCCCAGAGACACAGGGGGTCAGTCACCAGGGCACCGGGGTTGCCCATTACAGAATCAGAGAGAAAGCTCCCAGGGAGAGCAGGGGAGCCGCTCAGCGATACAAAGGCAAGTGGTGGAGAGTTCGAGCGAGGCCTGAGGGAACCATGCAGCAAGAATCTCTCCACCCTTCAAGGCCCCTTTCCATGCGACCCCAGCCTCCTACTCCTATCCCCAGCCCCAATGAGAGTCAGGCTGTCACGCATGCCGCACGGCGCTATCTTGAGACATGCTGCGCTGTTGTAGCCCTAATGAGCAGCCTCACCTGCACCACCCCAATCTTGGGCTGCCTTCTCCACCCTCTGAGAGTCAGCTGAGATCCGGGACATGTTGCCAGGCCAACATGCCACACACACCGTGGGCAGAGAACAAGGAGGGCCCAGACATACAGGAGGAGCTGGGCGGGCAG